CATGCTACATGAGCTTGCTTAAGCTTGTATTCTTATCTCATTCTTTTCTTCCCTTTTCTAAGTAATTTGTCCTTGTTATATAGGAGAACTAGCCTCTAGTTCTTAGAGCTTAACTCTCTACATTCATGAATGTACTGAAAAGCAAAACAGATTACAATATCATTTTGATTATAGTATGCTGACTAAGTAAAAAGATAATCTTTATTTCAATCATCTGAAAAGTTATAGCTCAGAAGCTGATCTGACTATTTATTCAATTCTACTATTTATATAATAAAGCACTTGACTCAATTATCTCTGACTGAGACTTTCAGTTTATATCAAGCTTTTAAAATAAGTTTATATAGATTCTGAGCATAAAACTGAAACTCTCAATAGCACATCATATATAAACTGATAAACAGATAGAAGTGACAAATCAATATATTGTCACTCATCTACATCTTTATGTCAGTTACTATCAAGATGACTAAGATGAGTAACTGCTTATTATAGATCACATCTTCACAGCTACTTCAAATGCTTTCACAGAGATCTCTCTCTTTCTCACAGTAAATAAATATGAATCTCAAATGTCATTTAACTGACAATTACTGACAGAGAAATTGAATATAAATAAGAAAAAAAATCAAGAAGCAGCAAGAAGCTTCATTCACTGAATGAAAGAGATCTGAAATCAGATAAGTAAAGATATAAGAGCAGCACAGAAACAGATAAATAGACAAACCAACAAGCATCATCAAAAGTCTAACTTTATAGTAGAAGAATTATATTTATCTAATGTTGAAATCATATAAAATGAATCAATTAACTTGTAAACTGGTAGAGCAGAATGCCAGTCCCTTCAAAATTCTAAAAAATATGAATAATATCTACAAACTGAATCTCTTTGCAATAATGAAGATTTATTCAATCTTCTTCTCAGACAAATTATGCAAAAACTTCAAAGACTCTCTATCTAATTAAACTATCAGATTACTAGACTCAATTGAAATAGACAGTGAGAATGAATGAGAAATAGATTGTATACTGACCAGTTGAATAAGCTAAAGTAAGCTGCAGTATCAAATATGCTAAAAGAGATTTGATGAGAATTCTTCATAATATCTTACTTATAACTTTAAAAGATTACTATATGCAATACAGGATTTCCATAAGGCCAACTCTACTAAAGCTGAACCACTGAAACACCTAGATGAATGAGTAAGAATATGGGAGACAGGCAGCTATCTGAAAGATGAAGATGATGATGATCTTCCAGCATAAAGGCATGCCTGTTTCTAGATCAGAAAATGATGTTAAACTCAGTGCCAGGGCTAGATTCATCTCCATCATGTGACCACACCTCACATGTAACCTAGTGGATCAGTTGTGATTCAGTCACATGATCACATGAGCTGTTTATAATCTGAGCAGACCCTGATACCTCTTTTCCTCACCAACCTTAGAATTTCATTACATAGCAGTTAGTAATGCAGAGAGTTTCCTTCTTATGCAGCTCACATTTACTCTCTAACAGAAGTCATGATATAAACACTTCAATTTATTTGATGATTATATCATTATCATATCTGATACTGACTTCACTAATGATAATATTAAATTTAAATAAATAAAATATTTTAATTTTATCAATTAAAAATGTTAGATTGATAGTCATTAATTATTACTGCTTAATAATTATAAATCTCATCTTATTAAAGAGTTTTTTCAATATTATAACTTTTATAATATTATTGTATTTGATTTTTTATTTTATATAAACTATCTACTACAATGTTTTGATGATATATATTTTCAGCAATATAAGAATTATCATATAAAATTAATTAATAAAGTTATTTGATATGAATATGAGTAATATAATAAAAGATAGTTTTTTGCTAATTTAGAAAGTGTCTATGATCAAATCTTTAAATCTATCATCATCAGAGCTAAATTCACTAACTATAAAATCTATTTAATTAAATAAGAAGTAATTCTTCAATGTTTGAGATAATATAATACAAATGATGAACTACAACTTCTTGATTATAATGATAATAACAATGATGATGATGATGATGAAAAATACTTAAGTTTTACTTCATTCTTTGAGATTTAACTCTTTATTATATTTTTTTAGTTAATATTTTCAGATATAGTTATATAACTACATTGTTAAATTAAAACAGCAGATAAGATCATACATGAGATGAAAAACACTTTGACATCTAATCTAACTCAGTAATTGAATAAAATCTTCAAGAGAAGTTTGATACCAGTAAAATTGAATACATATCAAAATAATGAGTTATCTGCTCATTATTGATAAATAGATATCAGATTGTCAAAATCAGTCACAGGCAGATGCAGGTAGAAATGATCCTCATTATCAAGAATGTCAATTGCAAGATCAAGCATTGTAAGAAAGAGAAATCAATAAAATAGAGAAATAGAGCTGTATAGTTAGTCAGAATCAAAGTTCTTAAATTTAATATCAATCAATTACAATATGATATTATTAATAAATCTCAATGTATCAGAAATTCTACACACTCTAATGAGTATATAGATAACCTTTATATTATAGACAGGCATGATGTTGATCATTAATTAATTTTTAAAGATTGATGATTCTAGAAGATTTTTATTACTGTGATATTTTCTTTACAGTGTGGCGCACTCATTAATGGTTGAGTGCGCATGGCGTGGTTAGTAAGAAGTTAGTTGAAGCTAGTAAGACTTAATAAAAGAGCTTTATTTTCATTTTCAATACTTAGAATATTTTTTTTCTTCATTCATTCTCACCTTTTTAAATATAATGTAATTATCACTAATGCATCATGACATTGAAATTGATGAAAATATAGACTGCTGCTCTCTTCTTCTCTCTTTTAGATACATCAGACATGGTTAATCGTTGGGATACACATATGTACATTATGTCATTTGTCAAAACAAGAAGTGAAGTGAGCAACCAGCTTATGATGTGGACATAGAAGGCATTCACTGATAGGAAAATACAAGAAGAAATTGAAGCAAGAGAGAGAGTCATAAGTTATGATAGAAGAAGATCTCCTTCCAAACAAAACCAGTGTTGAATTTTAACTAATGAAATAAATAAATTTATTCATTCATAGAAGGCAAGGAGGTGGAAAAGCAGTATCCTTAAAGAGAGATATTAAGAACTAGTTAGATACACATATAGATAAAAAAAAAACATGCATACATAAGTGATGTAAAGTGGTTTAGGTAGTTCATAATTAGAAAACAAGTCAAAAGCACTTCAGTTTTCCCTTTCAACATTTCCAATATCGATCCCAATCCTAATATCAAGTCCAAACCCACCACACTGTATATTGTAAATATACTCATCTCTTCATGCTCACCCTTTCTCCAAAACTATCCCGCTCCCACCCTCACCTATTTGTGTGCGCCCCTCAAAATCATCCCGATCCCGGACGCCATTTCCATCCCTTGCCACAAAACATCCAAACCCGGTACCATGACGGCGAAACAGTAAATAAAATGTAGACAGGAAATACGAAATTGAAGGTAAGTGATAGTCATATTAATGAAAGGAACAGGTGAGATGACATATGCAAAAAAAGTGAAAAAAAGAGTTTTGTGGGGGGAGGGAGGAAGGAAAGGTTGATTGATGTAATGCCTTATAACCTTGAAAGAATATGAAATGATGAAATAATTCAATATCATATCATGCTAACAAATATTAAACAAATGAGAATAGAAAAGTTGTTATTTTGAGACAAGGAGAAAGATTGAAATAGTAGACAGATCAGAAGAGAAGGAGCAGCAGCGGCAGCAGTAATAATAACAAGAGTAATAATATCAATCTTTCATTCCACTTTCCTTTTCTTTCCATGATTGATAGATTGACTGAGATTCTTCGTCATCAAAATATGAAGTAGTTTGAGAAAAGGAAACTTTTGAAAAGTAAGAAAAGTAATTTCTAAATCAGAGGGTTAAAGCCATTTCACCGATGATTTAACAGAATGTACATATTCAAAAGAATTCAAGAATAAACAATTTGTTGTTTAAATGGTTGAGAAAAGGAGATGAGAATACTGAGTTAAAGAAAATGGAAATGAACCAAAGTAAATACTGCTCATAAGAAAACAAGGCAGAAAGAGGGAGGGGAAAAAAAAAATCAAAGCCAAATTTAGAAAGAAGTCAATAATTAAACAGGTAAAAAATAAGCATAATTCAATAGACAGAGAAGAAGAGAAACAATATCAAATCACTAAGTGTTGTTCTTGCTCTTGTTCTTAATGATATAGAAATCGAAAACACGTACATAGTTATTATGAGTAAGTTTGTGAAGAAAGAGATAACATATCAAAAGCATGCGGGAAAGAGAGATGAAGAAGAAGTTGGTAAGGCAAAAAGGGGGGAAAGATTCACACATAAGCCAAAGATGAGCAGAGACGAAAATAATAAGGTGTAACTTTAAAGAAAATTGGTTAGATAGTGTGGCTGGCCATGGCGCCCGTACGAGAAAAAGCGGTTGGGATCAAGGATAAATATAGCAAACCAAAAGGAAAAGAAAATAAAGCCGGGGTATGTGAAATTAATTGTAAAAAAAAAAAAAAAAAAAAAAAAAAAAAAAAAAAAAGGAGGAAAAAAAGAGAAGTCGATGCGGGAAATAGTGTAAAAGGGGAGAAAAAGCATCGAGCAAGAAATAGGCAAAATTTCTTTTCCACATTTCAACATCAAAAAGTTCAAGAAACAAAACAGGCAAATAATCGATCACACTCATGTTCCCTCGATTTTCCCATTATTATTTTCATTTATTCTTTTCTTGAATTTTTAAATTTTTTTTAAAAAAATTATAAATGGGAGGGGAACAAGTCAAGTAGCAGAAAGAACATTAGTAAAAAAAGGGCGAGGAAGGAAAACGAAAATGAAAAAGGTAACCGGAAGAATAAACCAAAAAAGAAAAAAGAACACCCAGAATAGATAAGACAAGCCAAAATAAAAATAAAAAGAATAATAACAATTTACAGGTTCTCCCCAGCACCCGCTTCAACCCCATCGGGATACGGCATGCTCGGGTCAAAAGCGAATCCATTCGGATCATCCGTGTTAAGAAATGAATCGAAGTCGAAATTCTCTAGGATGTCAGGGTTATCCAAGGTTGTGAAGTCGAGATTGAAATTGTTGGCCTGGATTTTTTTTTTAATTTTTTTTTAATCGTTAGTTGGATAGAAATTAGAGGTAGGGATTGTAGGTAGGTTAAAAGCTCACATCAGGTAAATTCATATCCCCAAAAGTCTGACCCGGGTCTTGCTGCTGTTGTTGAGCTTGCTGCTGCTGAGCCTGCTGTTGTTGCTGTTGAGCTTGCTGCTGCTGAACAAGATTTTGTTGCTGTTGCGCAGCGTTGGGTGCAGACGTTGGTTGTGGGCCGTTTACATTCGTATTTGCATTCGCATTATTAGCGGCTGCATTGTTTGCGGCGTTGTTCTTGTTAAACGAGCTCGGATGAACAGGCGTTATGGGAGTTGGTGGGGTCGGGGTAGGTGGGGGGTCAACTTCTGAGGAGGGGGTTGCGGCGGTATTTGAGGCATTAGCTGTTGAAGGTTTTCTTTTGTGGACGCTATTTTTCCAGAAGGGGATATGTTAGTTGAATGGTCATTTGCTTTTGCGAAATTTTGGTATGATATATGTTTGCTTACCTTTCTTGGGTTCTCCTTTGGATCCTTCTTCCCTTTGGGAGCCGGCTTGTTAGACTGCTGCGGGGTCGGGGGTGCAGCGCCCGCTTGAGGGGAGGAAGGTTGCGTCCGGCCTGTACCAGCGACGCCGGCAGGGGGCGCTTGGGGTGGTGGCATCGCGTTGCGCTCCTGCGGAGTTCCTGCCGGCTGGGGTTGTTGCTGACCCACTTGTTGCTGCTGTGGGACCATGGGTTGACCCGGAGGCCCCTGGCCTTGCCAGTTGCCGCCTGGCATCCTATTACCACCGGGACCGCCAGGCCCCTGTGGGCGCGACATGGCATCCATGGGCTGAGTCATTTGAGGACCGCTGAAGGCAGGATTGGAGCTGGGAGGTCTCATGCCATTCTGGACGACACCGTCTTGCAAACTTTTGTTTATGAAGAAGGCCCCACCGCCCATTTCTTGGGGCATTTGGCCGCCGAAGTTCATGGAGGCGGGAGAGTTACGGCCATGAGCCATCGCATCGTTAACGCTAGGAGAGCCGGGGAGGCCAGTCTGAGGCATCTTGGGTGTGCCTCTCTTCATCTGATCATTAGGATTTGGGGACGCGCCGGCCCGACTACCCTGTGGGGATGTACCTGGGGGTAAGTTAGGCTGGCCAGGCATTCCTGCTTGACCATCGCCTCGGTTTATGCCATCTTGTTCTTGACGAGCCAGCAGCAGGCGTCGTTTATTCTGCTGCTCCAACAACATCAGCTGCATTTGATAATCTTGGAGTGCATGGTTCCCTGAGCCAGGAGTTTGCATCTGAGGTCGTGGTACTTGGGTCATTTGGCCATTTGCGCTGTAGTACTCTTGCATAGGTAATAGCTGGCCATCGTGCATGGGCATCATGTCGCCTTGGTTTGGCATCACACCAGGGTTCATTAAACCATTTGGCATACCCGGGTTGTTCATCGCTGCGCGATTGTTATGCATACTCATGTTGCCCATGTTTTGATTGTATACCTGGAGAGATTTTGCTTGGACAGACGGGTTTTGCGCCTGGAACGAAGTAAACTGTTGGGGGGTCAAGGTGTTTGGATTAATGCCGTGTTGGATCAACATGGCGTTGGTCTGGTGGTTTGGCCGGCCAGGCATTTGGCCTTGCCCTCGACCGTTTGGTGCCATCTGCAACCCATTTACCTGCGAGCCATCCAAGCGGGGACGCTTCGAAGGTGATGGAGCATTTTCTGCAGACGAGGGTGACTGTGGACGGTGGCCATTCATCTCCATTTCAGAGGTTTCTCGTTGCATCTGATGGTGGAGCATTTGTTGATTCTTTTGCAGCTGCGCCATTTGCTGGGGGGTCCTATACGGTCTAGAATTAGATCAAAATCTAGGCAAAATGGGATACAGATGCACATATATGAACGTACATATTGGGATTGTTTTGCATTAGTGTTTTCTGCATACCAGCAGGCATCATCCCACCACGGGCCGCTCGCATGTTATATTGACCAGGAATCATCTGCGATTGGCGCAGCATTTGCTGGTTTTGCATTCGAAGTAATTGCTAAAAGACAAGTGGAATTAGTATTACAAACCTTAATAGAGGGAGAAAAGAACCTACCTGTGTCTGTTGAACATATTGCATGGCTTCAGGGTTTTTACTTCGTTTCCGCTGGGCCCAGAAAATGTCCCAGAAGAGGTTAAACCAGTCAAGGAGAAACGACGTTTGTTGAAAGTCTCCACCCTGGCCTGGTGGGATATTTGGTCGCGGCATATCGTCCGGTATCCTGTGTTTAACTTCATCCTTGGAGTCCGTGACCATGGCATCACCGTCAACGCCATTCATTTCGCCATCGCGACGGTGTGGCGTGGACTTTGGCACGGGTGAGGTGCTCATGGTAAACGACTCATCTTGGATTAATGCCCTGGCACAATCGTGATAGCCGCGTTTGAGAAAGTAGTCGTAGATATAAGTGTTTAGTTGTACCACATTGTCTCCCTGGAGAATCTGATTGCCAGGGTCACTTCGTAAAGCTGAAGAGCCATTGTTCATCATGGGGATCCCACCGACAGGACCACCGGCACCCGGGTTCATTCCGGCAACATTCATCTGATTCATGGTTGGAGCGAGTTAAGCCAGCCAACTTGGCACTCTCGGCCAGAGAGCGAGTCGAAACTCTCTCAGTCGGGGCTTGATGTAGGAGGGAAGGTCAGGTTGGGCCAGCACGCGACAAGATTTCGCAGTGTTTCCCCGAAGAGGAGCAAGGACGGATGGAGGAAACGCGAGGTGGTTACGGAAACTAGAAAGGCCAGGATATCTAGTCGTGTAGGTAGGGTCTAGTTACGATGGAACGTGTATTTGATGTGGCGCGGACAAGAGGTTTTTTTGTTGAAGTGATGGCGACGGCCAAGACCAAAAAATAACAAGAGGAAAACCGGGAGAAAATCGACGTCAAGAGGTGACTTGTTCGACGATCGCCGGCGAATGAGGATGGATGTGACAACGATACGATCTATAGAAGCGGTTCTTTTTTCAAGGGGAGGAGTATCAAGTTAAACCCAAATAAATAGGATAAATAGGGCAGGGTTGAGTATAATGCGTGTAGTGTGGAGTGTGGAGACAATTTCTCAGCGCGAAAACGACAACGACTGAGACTTGGAATAGATAAATAACTGAGAAGAAATGGTACTACAGCGGGTGGTTCGACTTGAAGGGAGAGAAGAGATATTCGAGAGCGACCGAAATAGAGAGGGTGGTGCGATGCGGCTCTTGGTAAATCTCGTGGTGGCGATAAGAGTAAGGTGACTTTTAGAGAATGGCACCAAGCGCGTGTTAGTGAAGAGCCATACCTAAATAA